ACCCTCCCCTTACCAGTTCGCTCTCTATTACTGTGTGCTGACTACACCCACAGGGCTGGGTGTCGGAGACTCATTAGCATCACCGACTGGGGCTATGCTCATCCAAGTCACTAGAGAGTCCATGGGAAGGCTCGCAACCATCACATTTGCACACCTGTTTGCGACTTCGATTGAAGCAGAATGTAAGGCATACCGCATGGCCTGTGATCTGTTAACCGACACAGCGATGGTTCTCGACTGCGCGTCTCCTTATTTTCCGCAAGAAGCCAGGTTTCTGGTTCTCTGCCTCTCCAGCATCCTATACTCCGCATCTGGCGTCGTTGGGAACGCATCAAAAAGCAGTCTTAGTGGTCACTTTGCCAAGTGGAACAATCTCGGCGAGCTCAATGCTGTAAGTACTAGGACTTAGCACAGTGGAGACGTATGCAGGATTAGAGTTGCTAACAGTACACAGAAAGATGCCAGCCAGGAGACAGCCATCTCTCTGATAGGAATGCTTGTAAGTCAACAACAAGATGCATCTAATCCTAAAGCTTCGATTTTTACTAACAGATGCATAGACGGGAACGTTTTTATTATATTTTCTAACCGACGAAACATTATCATGGATCGTTCTCTTTGTCCTCCTTGGCGTTCACCTCCTTCTCAATTGGAGGGGCGTTCGAGCAGTACACTCACGTCAGCTAAATCGGCAACGTACCAATATTGCTCTGTCGGCATTATTTTCGAAAGACGAAGTCCTCACACCACTGAAAGTTTCCCAAAGAGAACTCATCTTCGAGAAGCGAAGGGGAGAAGTCTTTCGCTGGAACTCCGGGCCAGTGTTTGGCCACTGCAAGTACGGAGTGCCCCTCAAGACCTTGCTTGAAGCTTTGGCCTATGGGAAGACCCACGAGATGTCTTTCCAGCTTTCAAGCGTCGACTTATATACACTCATGGACGTATTCGACCGCGAGGAGTACATTCTCTGGTGCCAGGTGTCGACCGCGGCCAACGACGCGGCCTCCAGAATCAAGGTTATTGTTGTTCTGAAAGAAGGCGTGACGCCGAGGTCACAGCTGAAAGCTTGGTTCCATGGTCTGTTGCTGGCCAGAAAACTGAGCGGGCAGGAAGAGGCGAACTTGGTGCGAGCTGAATTCGATCAACAAGCAATGTTGGGCCACGTGGAAGAAAGTTTGCAAATCGCCAACGAAAAGTACGAGCTGTACGCGAGGAGACTGGCTTCTGCAGGCTGGAACATCGAGGTTCCTGTGCTGGAGACCCGAGCAGGCTCTCGCATTGTTCGGGAGCCTGACGAGATGAGATCACACTGAGGTGTTATTTCGCCGGTCGCAGGGGTTGAAGAGACGATCTAGAATGGTCTGGGTCAACATGCAACCGTTAGATTTGGTCTGAAGTTGAAAACATGCAGCATAGCGTCACAGTCATATTCAATACCATCAGACCTACCTGAAATAACTACCTTATGTCGTACTTGTGTAAGATACGTCTGATTATTTGCAGTATTAGTCCGTCCGGGTAGATACGCTTGTATACTCAGTACCTAGATCAGTAGGTTACCGCCTTGATGGTGTATCCTGAGCCGGATGCAAACAATATTTGCGACTTATTGCTGCAATGCAAAAGGATAACCCCAGAACTCTATGCGCACGACACGTGGAATTTTACCAAACACTCGCGGATGCGTAGTTGGCAGCGACGGCCCACACCACATCGATCAGCGCGGCCCGGATAGCTGCCGACCCATCTCCGGGTTATTTTGTATTATCTCTTTGCATTATTTGAAATTAGCAAGGTTATTCTGCTCATTAGACTTGACACTCTACCGTGCACGTAGGCCTCCCGGCTGTGCTCAAGTAACGACAATGCAAATTTAAGGTCGCTTTCGCGTTAAGAGATTTTAGGGGTCTCTACGTTGTCAGTTTATGCTCGGGCCAATCTCGCTATCGGTAATTTGATGATCGTCTTGGCCCCGTCTGCGACACTCGTCAGTCCCGACAACCCGTTCAGCCCGTCCCGGCTGCCTACTGTTCCTGGTGTCAAGCGGTGCCGCTACTTGGCACCTCAATGCGCCAAAAATGCCATGGCGGTGACCGTGCTGGTCTCCGTCTGCGTACTCAGTACGCTGTCAATGGCCGCATTGCTCACTATGTTGGCCCGACTCGTTCCGTGGCTGGGTTCTTGGAAGGGGGCCAAGTTTTTTTGTTTTGGGGGAAGGGTTAAGTAGGACCCGCTCGTATCAAATCTCGCATTCGAGAACGGATGCGACTCGTGAATGCGAACGCGAAGCGTACAGCCCCCAGACGACTCACCAAACATCACCACGCATTGTAATTCTGGAACGGCTGATGTGTGAGACACGTGAGCTGACAATGTCCATGCCTCTCTGGACCCTTTGGAACCATCATTGGCAATCATTGGTCGAGATTTAACTCCGGGTTAGAGTGTTGGGTTGAGACGGTTCGGACATTGAGATTGATCTTGCTGGGGACATTAAACCTTGGAGCGCAAGCCACCGTACGGAGTACAAGGCGCCGGGAGACAAGTCCGGATACGCAGTCGCGACCTTGACTTCGCGCTTCTTTAGGATTGCGTGTGCGCATAGATAAAGAGACATGTCCGACCACCAAGCCGTATACATGACGACACATCATCCATTTCTTGACTTTTCCCTTAGCCTTGTTCACTGTATTACCTTAGGTCAAAATGAGAAACCCAACCACAGCTTCGCGGCCAAGTACTGGCCAGCCAATTGAGGTTCGCATCAGAACTACAGAACCCCGAGCTATTGAAGTTCGAGCCAGAGAGGCCTTGCCGAGGAGCAAGTCATTTCACCAGCTATCTTCCCGTGTGGAGGTTAGACCGACAGAGTCCCTTCCGCGAAGTAAATCCCATCACCAACTGCCTCGCTCGGAGAGATCTCAAAACCCAGTGCAGCTGCAAGCCTTCGAGTGGAATTTGCCTGCCGACCACAAGCACTGGCGACGACTTCGGCGCGCGCTGCCGGCACTGAGGTCCGTTGGTGTGAACAGCCTATGGCTGCCGCCCGGAAGCAAAGCCAAGGATCCCGAGAGTAACGGCTACGACATTTACGATGCCTGGGATCTAGGAGAGTTCGACCAAAAGGGCTCAGTCCCCACCAAATGGGGTACGAAGGGAGACCTTGCGTCTTTAGCGGCGGATGCGGAGCACCACGGCATTGGGCTCGTCTGGGACGCTATTCACAACCACCGCGCCTACGCTGACGGCACTGAGATGGTAAAGGTGGTCGAGGTTGATCCGCGTGGTAAGCTTTCACCCGTCAGCTCGTAGCACTCCTGGTTCTTATCTGCTTACACGCATTTCAGATAGACGAAGAGACACCACAGACGTCTATGAAATTGAGTCATGGACCAAATTTGACTACAAAGCTAGAGGGGGCAAGTACAGCAAGTTCAGATACAATAAGTCGCATTTCAACGGCACAGACTGGAACCAACAGAACAAGAAACGTGCCATCTACAGGTTTGTAGAAGACGGCAAGAACTGGCATCAAGACGTCGGCGACCTCCAAGGAAATGCCGACTACTTGATGCTCGAAAACCTTGACTACACCAACCCTGAGGTCGTCAAAGAGCAGCATCAGTGGGGCAAGTGGATCGTGGATGAGCTCGGTCTCAAAGGCTTCCGTGTAGATGCCGTACAGCACATCTCATGGAACTTCATCAGCAAATGGGCCGAGCACTTGAGGAAGCCAGCCATTCGCAATGATCTCATGTTTATTGGCGAGTTCTGGCATGGTGATGTGCGCGTCTTGAACAATTGGTTGGAGCACATGCCAGCATTCTTCAGCCTCTACGACGTGCCTCTGATGTACCACATCGAGAGATTGTCATGGCACCGAGACACGGACTTGAGGCAGGTGTTCAAGGACACACTAGTGGAACAACGACCCAACAACGCTGTCGTAAGTTTATTCATCTCCTGCAAAATTGAACGACTTTCTAACAACTCGCAGACTTTCATTCGTAATCACGACACTCAGAAAGGTCAACAGATGGACACCCCAATCTGCAAGGAGTTCATGCCCTTTGCCTACTCTATGATTCTTCTCAGACGCGATGGTCACCCATGCGTCTTCTTTGGTGATCTATACGGCATCGAGCTTACCCATCCCGAAGCGCCTATCCAAGACCTTCCCAACCTTCTCTTGGCCAGGAAGCTTTATGCTTACGGGGAGCAACACGATTACTTCGAGCGGCCTGACTGTATTGGATGGGTCAGGCGCGGAACGGAAGAGAGACCCGCCGGCATGGCCGTCGTCATGAGCTGGACACAGGCTGAACATACTGACACTCGGTTATCAATGTCAGTTGGTGCAGACCACGCTGGGGAGGTCTGGACCGATGTCCTCGGAATGGAGTCGGCCGCAGTTACGATTGATGTGAACGGTGTGGGCTCTTTCTACTGCCCGAAGAACAAGATAGCGTGTTTCGTCAACTCGGATGCGAAGGGAAGGAAGAAATTCCCTGTCAAGTTCGATTCTGACTTTCGCAGCCTTGTTGAATAGAGCGATCTTGGCGCAAGACTTCATGTTGGGGCCATAGAAAGAGAAGCCCATTATTGTATCATACTTATATTTAGATATTTCCTTTACACCTTCAGTCGCATTCACTAGCGGAGATATAACCTAGACAATACCCTCATCAATAGCATTTAGTACTCCACAGCAAGCCGGAGAATAAACCCAAGTTGTTATTCCCTTCATGAAAATGGTGGAATGCGATGAAATCGATCTCCATTTTTAGCCCCATACGGCCACTTGCTGAGAGACTATCGACAACAAATGGGTTCGTGCGTGATTAAGCATCAAAGCGGAAGAAATACAGCACCAGGTATCGATTATTGAGGAGAACGGAGATTTAAACTTGGGTTAAATGTAGCTTGAACTATTACATCAGGTCTTATACATACAAAAGATGAATCTATGATATTTTACTCGTTTATAATATATGGTAAAGTCAGAAACACATGGTATACCTGTTTAAACGATCTCTTGTAGCCAGATACCAGCCTCTTACCACTTCACGTGTGGCAGAAAACATAACGGTAAACCAGCTTCGAAAGCTCGCAACCTCAACCAGAAATGCAATCACCCATGCTGCAATGGAAAGGAAGAAACTGTGGGGTATAACATCCGCAAAGATAAGAGCCCAGAGCATGAGTCCAGCCGCATAAGGCATCAGTAGCAGTGAAAGCCAGCCAGCTGAGGTCTCAGATGCTTGGGTGAGCTGAGCCGGTTCCTCGATCCTCATTTGCTCTACTGTGGGCAGTGTCTGCTGATCGGCGAGGTCAGTCAAGTCTCCATTTTCTCGGCATGAAATCGCAATCAAAATGAGTGAAGACTTACCGCAGTGTCAGCCGCTGACGGGAACTGATTTCCCGGGGATTGGTTGAAATGCCGACTTCCCGAGTCATGAGAAGTCGGCAGCAATTCTGTAACATCTGGCGGATTCGTCTCGGGTGTTGTCAAAGGAGTTATGTCTTCAATATCTTGAGAAGATAGTTCATCATATGTAGTAGCAGCTGGAAATTACGTGGATCAGCGGAACAGTTCTCGTCCATCGATATCACATGATCGCTTCTGTTTCCCGGCCATTTGATCGATCGTGAAAGCGGGCCTACTTACTTGAATATGCCTCAGCAGCTGTTATCAATGGAAGAGCTAGAAGGAACAGAGGTACAAGCTGCCCAAAGTTCGGCTTGATGGCACCAAGTCTGAGACTGGCGTCATTGAAGAACTCCAGGAGATTCGCAGTTCCGAATGTGAAGTAGAATAACAACCACACAATTTCCCAGAGAAAACTAGACCTCAAATCTGCCAGTGTTTGATTGTGAGCCAAAGCTAGTCTTTCAAATTTGGCTACAGCTTCAGGACCGAAGCAGGCTCGTAGAGAGCGACGCTGCCAGTAGTCTTTTTCTTCGCGGGCCAGCGGGCAATAGAGTTGTAGCAGCCTCTGGACGTAACCAGATATGAGGATGTATGTTAGTACCGATAAGTTGAAGACAATAATGATTTCGTCAGAGAAGAAGACGTAATTGGGTCTTTCTCGATCAATCAGCTTAAAATGCTTTCTCGCACATTTGACCGAAACGTGTCGATTGAAACGAAAAGTAACAGAGTCTGAGATGGTCATGCAACCAATCATCATCGCCAAAAAGACAACCATAAGGATGGTGCGGAACATCCTTAACCGTTTATGTTTGTCAAAGTAAGCCCACAACACTGTGAGTGAGCAAAGATGTGTGATGCATGAGAAGTATCCGAGTCGAGTCGCAATTTGAAACGAGTACACTGAAAAGCCTTCGTCCAAGCCATGTACCCCCGCGAATATACAAATCGTTGCCAACATGAGGGCCATGCCAGTAACTAGTTGCTGATCACTGAGCGATAGCATGAACGACTCGAAAGCTTTGATGCGTTGTTTTCTATCGGCCGACGATGACCCTCTGGAATGAATGATATCGTCTATTGAGTTGTAACGTTTCTCAGGGAGCGCTTTTGTCGCGTATGCAACGATGATAGCAATCATGTTCATAACGATAGAAAAGCAAAATGAAGAGACGATCTATTTGAGATTAGCATCATTCAAGGAATCAACAATATCATCTGGAAGAATCTTACACCCCAGCCCGTTACGTCGGGATCAGGCACATTTTCCTCCATCATCCGTTCGCAATACCCTCCCTTGACCAGATAATCAGTTTCCATTTTGCTGGAAGACTTCCGCGTCGTCCGATGGATTGCGTAAGCTTTTTCACACTTTAGTGAAGCTGTAAATCTCGTCGTACGGCAGTTTGAGAAAGACGAAGACAAAAGAGCCGCGAATCGGCAAGGAGACCAAGGACTGGGAACCGGCGGGTTTTAAAGATAAAAGCCTGGTTTGCAATAGGTTCTTCAAAAAGGGGCGACCATTGCTAGGCTTCAGTGCCCCAAGCCTTGAGCCGCCAATACCTGCGGACCAATGGTGACGGAGGGGCTAGACCTAACTGAAGACATAATATGGTGCGTAGGACGACTCTGCCAGAGCTGATGCCAGCAGCGAATAAAATCCATACGCTTATCTATCAGAGCTGAAAAAGATTCACATCAAATACACATGGAGTCATTGTGGCTGAATCTATCGAGAACTTGTAGTTAATCGCTCGTAAAAATCGCGACGACTGCTCATCAGATGGGCTACCTCCGTCAACTGCGCTGTGGCTATGCGCTTGGGGGCTTGCTTTGTTGGTCACATTTTGACAGGCATTTAAGGCGCCTAAGACAAATGACGTGGAATGGAAGAAGAGTCGGCCTCACTTCTTGCGCCAGATTCGGTAAAATATAGAGGGTTTCCCAGCCGAAGAGGCTGATGCGGCGCATGCGTACCAAGCCTCGGTTAACTTTCAGCTCCCCTGCCTGCTCTCTCTCCATCACACGCACTTGATCGATGTCGCACACTCAGCTCAAGCACAATACCGATGATGTGTCATAACAGCTACCAAAGATCGTTACTAATCTGTTTCAGCCTGCGGGTTGCAGACATTGCTGAATGGTCTGCTACACAAGAATCAGCGGACTTAATTGATACCCACTGGTTTGGTTTATGTGTAGCCAACGCACGTTCGTCAGCACGACTTCGACTGACTTTCCTACATCACGATATTTTTTTCGGAACAATTCAGTGTAAGTGAATGCCTGACCAGAAAAGATCAAACCCCCCTTAGATCCAGTACGAATCAGGCCCCCCAAGGTTTTTGAGCATCTTGAACGCTCTACCCGCTGAAGAGCGTCTAGGTCCATAATGTAAGCTCACCGGCTCCAAAGCAGCAATCTCGATACAATTCAGTATGTCAAGCAGCTGGGTGAGGCTACTAAATTCTCCAGAAGACTCAATGACAGCACTCTCGTTCTCTCGGTCCTTCTTATAACTCCACATGGGATCAAGTGACGTGACATAGAATGTAGAATAGAAATAGGGGGGCTGTATCGTTTTTCTATCTGCCCCGACACCAAGGTCAGTTAACTAAAGCCCTTATAAACCTTACTTTACCCATCGATAGCCCCAGCGGTGTATTATTCCAAAACCTCATTTACAATGATGACTCTCATACTTTTAGTAGCATCCAGGAAATGTAGATGAAACACATGCTTCTCCTATTGTCAAAGACCTAGTATAATCATAGCTCTGGGCGTAAGCTGACATTCAGTGCGACACACCGCCAATATGATTTTGTGACTGCAGCCTTCTTAAAACAGAACATCGCCATATTACTGGTCGCCTGCTCATTGTCACACAACTCTCTCTTCAATCTTTTATGAGCGCCGGTCCCTGTCAATAATCCTAGACTTCTTCCCTCACCTGTTCGCTCGATTTTAATCCTTTTATCGAGGTAACAGGAGAGTTCTCAACAATTGGTGTTTCGGAACACTTACTTGGAAAAAAATGCAACACGACTCTAATAACAACTTTTTGTCTCCGTTGGCTTACAGGCCAGATGGGCAACCAGAATCTCCAAGTCCAAGTCGACGTACCTCACTAGCATCCAACAGGGACTACCCCCTAGAGCCTGAAGCCCAACAATGTCTACCTGAGCCAGACGATGCTGCAACAGAGGATGCAGCATCTACGATAACCGGTCCACGCGTTTCGACCGATGGCACGACGAAGTACGACCGTGTTGCGGAAGACGACACTGATGGCGCCGTATCGAGGGTTGACTTGCCTGACAACAGGTTGGACTTTTTCACTATCGTAACAAATTGCGCCGCTGTGGTTCTTCCCTTGGGTCTCATTGTCTTCATCGTCATTGTGTGGCGCCTTGACGGTTCCGAGAGTACTGAAAGCTCCCGCGGGGCCTGGCGAAACGCAATCACGATCGTAAGTACCGAACCCTTTTACCTGATCATGCTAAGTACCTAAGTCAAACTCTAATAATAATGACCGAATGTAGCTTGCGACTGCTTTTCCGATCCTGTTTGCGTCAGTTGTAGGTCGTCTTACATATGAAGCGGCTCGCTGGAAGCTAGAAACCGGCACGACCCTCGGGTCTCTCGAGCAGTTCCTAGGCAGCCGAACGGTCGGCGCCACCCTACTCAATCTGATCCAACTTCGATCATTCAATATCGTGGGTGCTGCTTTGGTATTGATATGGGCACTCTCACCTTTGGGCACTCAATCTATTTTGAGAATGATGTCCTCACAAATCGCCCCGGACAACAGAAACACGACGATAACCTACTTCGACACCAACGCTGAGAGTCAGGCCATACAGTGGGCGACCTGGGTGGGATTTTCATACTCAACCTCCATGGCGAGCTTCCGACCCATGTCGACGTTGTATAACACCCTGATTTCAATGCCTGAAGGACTCAAAGCGGATGCTATGGATGTCTGGGGCAACGTCAAAATACCTTTCCTGAAGCGCTTAGACACAGATGACTGGTTGGACTTCTTGGATCAAGATCTCGGTGTGAATGAGTATTCGTCTTTGGCCGGGATCCCTCTCAACAGCATCGAAGTTGGACACACCGTATTTTCGCTAGAGTCTAGCTACATTAGCTTAGACTGCTCGGATGTTGAAACCCTCAAGATGGATCTAGGAGCCGACGACCTGCTGAAAGAAGAGGTATTTCACGACGACCTATCAGCCGCTTCTCTGGCTGTAGACACCAGGTACACAAGAAACGCTAAGTTACCAAATGGTACATGGCACGGATACGACTACACAAGAAACGTCTCCGGGCTAGATTCAACCTGGATTCTGGCGCTCGACAGATTTGTAGATCGGATATGGTCCATGAAACCTGCTGATTATCCTACAAAACCAGTCGTTGGTCCTTTGCATGGTCGTGTCGAGGAAATGCACCGGCCCCTCTTATTCAAAGATGAGCAACATGTCGACGCCGGGCCGACGACTCTTCTATTTCAAAGCATATTCCCCCCTCAGGAAAAACACCCAGGATGTTCAGCAAAGAGCCTCTGTAGGGTATCTCAGGAGTACGCCGAGTCCCGCGTCAACTGTTCTCGCACGGCTCGCACCGACAGACACAACTGCACCGTGGTAGCCCAGCGGAAATCTCAGAAGAAAAATGCTCCTGGGGATATATCTCAGCTATCGTTCCCCGCCGTCTTTGACTTTGTCTCTCGCGAGCTTCCGCTCTCCATCGGAGGCTCTACGGCGTACAAGTCCGAGTTCTCGCTTTACCACCTCGCTGATCCAGGGCTTAGACAGCTGAGGTCGGACGATTACTGCATCATAGAAAGCGTCACAGCCAAAGATATGGGAGTTCGACTTAGCCAGCTCCTCAATACCTACCTCTTGATAAGCCAGCTTTCGTTCGAGATTGCAGAGTGGGACGCGGATAAACCAACGTCTGGGGCCAAGATCTCCGTCGATGCAGAAACAAGTACCCCTGTTATCAACTTTGAGATCTCCTCATTATGGATTACGCTTTTCTTGGTCGCGAGCATCGTGCTTCTTGCAGCTGGTATCGCGAGCGTTGTCCTCAAGCACTGCACATACGGGCCAGAGATCCTTGGGTACGCTTCTACCGTGTTACGAGATTCGATATTTTTTGATGTTCCAAGAGACTATAGAGGGCTGGATGGGATTGATCTATCACGGAAGATGAAATCTGATCGGCTTCGCTTTGGCTTGATACAAGGTCTGAAGGAGGGACAATCACGGACGGGAGTTGGTCATCAAGAGAGTACGGATCGATTAGGAAAACAACAGAATCGTGACTGAATCTGTCAGGAGGTTTGAACCACAATCCATGTCTTAGATGCAAGGAATCAAGCCAAGTCAACCTCACATCGTCGGGACTCTTGATCAATGAATCATCCATGGAGGGGAAACGAGGCAACACAGATTTCTACATGCACGATCGTTCGGCAGAAAGGTTGATGGGTTTAACGGTATTGTTCTTTATTATTGATTAAATATGAGGTCCTGACTTGGGGTCCTATAAAGCTACATGGTCTTTTTAACACGTTTCGAGGTTATGCTTGAAAGGCTGTCCCCCGAGTATCAGTACACGCAGAAACGAGGTGTCTCGACTCAAAAACCCCACTGAGCCCTTATCCTTCCGGACTACCACGTAACACAAAAAGATTGGCCGCTGAATGTAAAACGGCGGCTTTAAGCTTGCGCGAACTGTCACGTAAGCGCGTAGATGGAGGATTTGGCAGTCATTGATGTTGCTGTCGGTGACCAGAGTCCCGATAAATGGAGAAAGTGGCCGCAAGCTTTAGTCAGTCGCGCGTTGTTCCTCTTCGATCACAGAAGTTGTTGCCAGGTCCAGTACTTGGTCAATCCCCAAAACTATCAAAACTATCGATGAGAATTATCTTCGAGGTACCATTTCGTCGGCCCAAAGCATCGATGATCGTGGCATAGTTCAGTTCCCGTGTGGGGGATGTGATCTAGTCGAATGGGAGTGGGTGGTCTCGCAGCACTCAAGCTTCTCTGGAGCCCTTATACTGCTTTGTTCTTGGATTCTTCTTGTCCGGGAATTTCCCCGTCTTCCACTGTTCCTGGTAGTTCGGCAATGGGCTCCACAGACTCTTCTTCCGGTGATCGCTTGCTGGCTTTCCACCTCTCCGACCGAGCCATTGCAAAGAGTCTCGTTGCGCCGTAGAGCTGGGTCGTGATCCATAGCGTGAAGATGACGGGAGTGACCACCCTCCACACATGACCCCATCGATCCCAAGACTTGTGCAAGAGGTATATCGTGACTGCGGTCTCCGAGACCGCACCAACAATAACCCATACGAAGCAGGCGGAGGTGAGGTAGGAGAGTAGTCGATGATCACGGCGCTTGATTCGCCAGATGATCATAGAAAGGTAGATGGGCAGTTCTACTACGACGTCGAAAGCGCCTAGGTCAAACAGTCAGACATTTAACGTTGCGCTTTATCTAGATTCGGACAGAGTGCTGTCAACATACCCCACACCATGCACATGTAGAACTCGATTGTTGCTTCCGGGTGGTGCTCGATGTTTCCAAACAGGGAGAGGGCGGTCTGCGTGATGGCCAAGAGTCCAATATGATGAGCGATACTAAGAGGACTCGCGAATTGTGTGCGATAACAGAGCTCGAAGACGTAGTAGGCGCTATACGTTTGCGCCACCGTAAACAACAGATCGCCTACTCTGATACGCCTTCCTGGTCCTGGCGACACGTCCGTTGTCAAGTCGGCAGAGCCGATGAGGAAACGGAACACAGGGTAGACTCCGATGCAGAAGAGTGTGAGCATGATGATGGCACCGATATGGTAAGTCAACATACCCACTTCCTGGCACCCCCCTGTTTCTGGCACCCACAAAAACGCGAAAATCCACCACAACCCAATGCCCACCCCCAACCTCCTTTTATCACAACATTTTCAATTCGCGTCCAAA